CCCTACAATAACACCCTCGGACCCCGAGAGACCCAACAATAACACCCCGGCCCCCGAGAGACCCAACAATAACACCCCGGCCCCTGAGAGTCCCTACAATAACACCCTGGACCCCGAGAGACCCTACAATAACACCCCGGCCCCCGAGAGACCCAACAATAACACCCCGGCCCCTGAGAGTCCCTACAATAACACCCTGGACCCCGAGAGACCCAACAATAACACCCCGGCCCCTGAGAGTCCCTACAATAACACCCCGGCCCCTGAGAGTCCCTACAATAACACCCCGGCCCCCGAGAGACCCAACAATAACACCCCGGCCCCTGAGAGTCCCTACAATAACACCCCGGCCCCCGAGAGACCCAACAATAAATCCCCGTGGTGGCTGTTCCCTGGATGGTGTCTGTCACTCCTCACCCCCACTTCTCTCCGTCTGTCCCCCCAGGTCCGTAAGACGTTTTTCAGCCTGGCCTTCTGCGACTTCTGCCTCAAGTTCCTGTTCCACGGCTTCCGCTGCCAGACGTGCGGCTACAAATTCCACCAGCAATGCAGCAGCCGCGTGCCCAGCATCTGCCTGGCCCTGGACGCAGCCCACTGCCCGTGAGTGACCCCCCCGGATCCCGCTGCAGCCCCCCGACCCCCCTGCAGCCCCCCCGGAGCCCCCCGACCCACCCTGGATCCTCCTGCAGCCCCCCCGGAGCCCCCCGACCCCCCAGCCCTGTGCCCAGCATCTGCGTGGACCTGGGCATGGCCCATCACCCGTGGGTGACACCCTCCCGCCCTCCCTGCCCCTCCCATGCCCTGTACCCAAAGGAGGCAGGCCCACAGGGACCCTCCCTGGCCTGCCATGGGACTAGGGGACCCAGGTGTCCGGGGTGCTAATGGGAAGGGGATGGTGAGAGACATCAGCACAGCTGGGTGTGTGATGGGGGAGCCCAGGGCTGGGCGAACAGGGGGCTGTGGGTCGGGAGTGAGGGGCACCGGCAGGGCTGGGCTGGCAGGGACTGCGGGTCGGGAGTGAGGGGCACCGGCAGGGCTGGGCTGGCAGGGGCTGCGGGACGGGAGTGAGGGGCACCGGCAGAGCTGGGGGGGCAGGGGCTGCGGGACGGGAGTGAGGGGCACCCGCA